CCCCCCCCCCGGGGGGACCCCGGCCCCGCTCCGGGGGGGGCTTTGGGGAGCCCAGAATGACCCAAACCCGCTGGATTTGGCCTCGGAAAGACGTGGAGAAACCTGGGAGTGGGGGTGGCAGGATGGAGGGCACGAGGAGCCGGGAGAGGAGGGGGGGATGTGCCAGGGCGGGGTGGAGGCCCTGAGGGGGGACAGATGCTCCGGGATGGGATTGATGCTCCGGGATGGAATGGATGCTCCAGGATGGGATAGATTCCCTGAGGTGGGATGGATTCCCTGAGGTGGGATGGATGCTCTGGGATGGAGTAGATTCCCTGAGGTGGGATGGATGCTCCAGGGTGGGATGGATGCTCCAGGATGAGATGGATTCCCTGAGGTGGGATGGATGCTCTGGAACAGGATGGATACTTGGGGTTGGAGGGATGCTCCAGGGCAGGAGGGATGCTCTGGGATGGGATGGATGGATGGATGGAGGGATGGATGGATGCTCTGGGACAAGAGGGATGACCTGGGACAGGATGGATGGATGCTCTGGGGCAGGAGAGATGGATGCTCCAGGGTGGGATGGATACTCAGAGCTGGAGGGATGGTCCAGGGCAGGATGGAAGCTCCAGGGAGGGGATGGATGGAGAGATGGATGGAGGGATGGGTGGAGGGATGGAGGGATGGATGGATGCTCTGGGGAGGGCTGGAAGCTCCAAGCTGGGATGGATGCTTTGGAATGGGAGGGATACTTGCGGCTGGAGGATGCTCCAGGGCAGGAGGGATGGATGCTCCAGGGTGGGATGGGTATCCCTGGATAGGAAGGATGCTCTGGGATGGGATGGATATCCTGGGATAGGAAGGATGCTCTGGGGCGGGATGGATATCCCTGGATAGGAAGGATGCTCTGGAATGGGATGGGATGGGATGGATATTCCAGGACAGGAAGGATGCTCTGGAATGGGATGAGATGAGTATCCCAGGACAGGAAGGATGCTCTGGGATGGGATGGGATGGATATTCCGGGACAGGAAGGATGCTCTGGGATGGGATGGGTATCCCTGGACAGGAAGGATGCTCTGGGATGGGACGGGATGGATATTCCAGGACAGGAAGGCTGCTCAGGTGGGATGGGATGGGTATCCCTGGACAGGAAGGATGCTCTGGGATGGGATGGGATGGATATTCCAGGACAGGAAGGATGCTCAGGTGGGCTCCAGCTCCCCCCACCGTTCCCAGCTCTCTCCCAGCTGTGCGGCTCCACATCTGGAGCTGCCCACCCACCACTCCCAAGCCTGGATCCCGGATCCCAGATCTCTGCCCGTGCAGGATCGGGCCCCGGGGCCCCCCCTGTCCCTGTTCCCATCCCCATCCCTGTCCCGGAGCCCCCGGGGCCGTGGGGGTCTCCTCTGCTCGTTATCAATCATCATCAATATCAACACTCGAGTTATTTTTAGCCCGGGGGGGGGGGGGCCCGGGGGGGGGGGGGGGGGGGGGCGGGGGGCCCCCGCCCCGCCCCGCTACCCCCCGGGGGGTGTCCCCGTCCCCCCCTTTGCCCCCCCCCCCTCCCCAGCTGGGAAGGAGCAGCGGGAACTTTGTACATAAAAGGGTTAAACCCCAACCCCTTTAACCCCATATCCC